ACAAAAATAAACACCGGTATTCGGTATGAACCGGTATACTGCCCAGCACTAACACAAATGTAAACAAACGTGTATGTTTGTAATGTAATTTACAACAGCTTCGAACTTGGCTCAACCAATCAGAATCAGGGACCAGAACTATCCGTTTTATAATCATGCAATGTACAGCTCAGTGTTTTATCTATTGACTGAATAGTATGTGTATCAGTATCAGACACTATCAGTGTAGTGTGATTCTTAAAATAAATAACTTATTTAATTTTTTTGTATTATATATTCTTTTTTGTATTTTTGCCTTTATTAAATTAGATATTAAATTATATAAAAATCAGTTCTTCGTAAAAAATATTTTTAAAATGACTTTTTTCATTTAAAATATTTTTTTCTTTCATTTTTAAAAAATATTTTTAATGGAAATTTCCATGCTTAGTTATTGGTTGAAAGAATGCATTTCTAAAAGGCCACATGTGGCCTGGCTGTTACCTGCGTCGTTCACTTTTAAGAGAGGAACTACTGTGGAAACAATGATAGGTAATGATCTCAAATATAATTTAAGAAGTACCTAATGTTTAGCCTGTTAAACTTCAATTTAAATCGAATACTCCTACAGTGGAAACGCTGTGTTTCGTGATCGTGCCATGTTTTTGTTCAGTGCTCATGAATATTGTCCCCTAACAAGAGGTGGTTTCCATGGAGAAAACACTTCACCTGCCCACACAAGGACATCAGAGAGGTTCTGATTCATAAAACCTCTCTCATACTCAGTCAGTTCTTAATTCATCACAGATGGAAACTTCTGTCCCTCACGTCAGAAAGCAAGTGAAATTTGGTTCCAGAACCACCTCCTCGTACTTTCTGATATTTGACAGCATAGTTTCTACAAGTAGGTTGACCATGTTTTATGTAGCAGACTGTAAACAGTGTTACTGACTGTAATAATCTGCTTTCTAAGCGTTTTGTGATTGGTTTCTGTTATCTGTATTTAGTTTGATTGGCTTTTCTGTTTACAGTGTTGTGGTTTGTTGATTAGCTTCTCTGTTCAAGTTCATTATGATTCATGTAAAGCAGTTTTTCTGTTGCATAAGCTGCCCATGTATAAACGTTTTAAATGAGCAAGTGTATTTGTTTTCTTGTTTCAGGATGGACTTTGATGACGAGGACGGCGAGGGACCCAGCAAATTTTCAAGGCAAACTTTTTCCATTGTTTGCAAGCTTTCCAAACAAACAAATCAGACCACGCACCATGTCCTTTCTTTTATATTTTCTGTTTTTTGACCGTGTCTTTCAGCTGTGCCACAGCGTTTGTGCCATTTCAAGACATCGCTCATGTTATGTTGCCCTCAACTTATGGTTTCCTTTCAGTTCATGTTCTTTTAAAGGAGCTGTATCCATAGTTGCACTGCGCCTGACGGTAAAGACGCCACACATTTAGCTAGCACTGGAATGGAGACACTGCCTCCTGCTGGAGATACAGGACACACTCCAGCAATTCCTCTCCCGCTTGGAGCAATTACTCACTAATAATACTCACTAAATGGCTTTCGTTAAATAATCACCATCACATTGTTCCAAACCTATATGCTGCTTCTTTCCACTGAATGATACACTGGAAATGTGTAAGATTTACTTTTGAAACAATTTTCACCTAGACATTGCTAGTACATTTCACTAATAATTACAAAGAAATGGCAAGCAAACTATTAAATAAACATGAAATTGAAAACATGTAAGACTGAAATAGGATTATCCTGTGAATTGTACTTCAGTAGTTTTTTTTTTTTTACAGTGTAAACGATAATTTATACTCCAAAGACAAAGCATTGCTTTCTTCAAAACAGTTATGAACAATACACTATGTTTGTAGGAATTTGTGTCTGAAATTTGTCGTCAGTGACCAAAAGCTTCAAAATATCATCAAATCTCATAAAAAAAATAAAAACAGCATATGGGTTTGAAACAACATGACTTCCAAATATATATATATGTATATAATTAGTGCTGTCAAATGATTAAGCGCGATTAATCGCATCCAAAATACAAGTTTTTGTTTACATAATGTATGTATGTGTGCTGTGTGTATTTATTATGTATATATAAATACAAACGCATGCATATATTTAAGAAAAATGTTATGTTTATATATTAAATATATTTATATATAATATAAGAATATAAATATATAAATGTATATGCATGTAAATATTTCCAAAATATATACTGTATGAGTGTGTATTTATATATACATAATAAATATGTATATATATATATACATAATAATAATAGATTATAAAACTGGATATTATTATTATTATCTCGGCGATATTACTGTAAAACTCAACTGTAGTGTCCAAATACTTCTTGGAGGCACTTTTATGAAACAATTAATACAGAAGTGAGTTTATATCCTGGAATACAGACACCTCAGATTGTTTAGTTTGTCTTTTTTTATTGATTTTCATTATCCAGTAGTCACAGTCCATTATTATATTACCATATTCACACATTCAAATGCGGTTCATGATCACTCCATTTAAGCCACAATCATAAAATCTGATGTAGCTGACATTTTCAGGCTGATCTTATTTTGATCTCTTCTCTCTCCCGTCAGGTATGACGATGATCAGATTCCCGGTGATAAGGAGCGTTATGCCAGGTAGGGCTGTCTTGGGGAGGTTCCCTCAGGATAGCTAGAAATCAGGCCCCTGCCGCCGTAAGGAGCGACCTTGGCCTCACACGAGCGACTCTGTCTAGATCTAATCTTAAATGGGTATTTAATTATCCTCAGCTGACACTCTCATCTGAAATTGCCACGTTGCTTTGAGCCATTGCGCTCCGTGGACTAATACAGCGGCCTGGCCTCCCAAGATTTATCGGTTTGCATTTTCCACTTAAAAGATTGGTTCGCGTCTGTCATCGTTCAGATTATTGCTGGAGTCTCATCTAAATCACAGAAATGAAGTAAAAAAGTCTTCAAATGTCCTCTCTGGCACTTTTTTAACTGAACGTTTCAGTTGAAGAAGAAGTTTTGCGACTGATCAGTCCAAGGAAGAAACCTTTTTTTTTTCCTAAGTTTGAAAAGAAAGCGTGAGCCAAATAAATTTATTTCTGTATATTGAGGGTCCCGAATGTCGCCTCTATAGTAATTCATAATGATGTATTTATCAATCAAGGTCAACATCGAATGCATATAAGTACATGAGAGCAGACATAGGTAGGTGGTAATTATTGAAATTTCGCAATTGCAATTATACAAGCGAAAGAAGGATCTCAAAAATGTGCACACATTATAATTTTTTTATATTATAATATTCTATTGAATTACAACAGTGTACATTACCGTTCAAAAATTTGGGGTCAGTAAATTTGATTTTTTTTTTAGAAAAATATTGATATGATAATATAATAAATATTTGATATGTTAAATTGATAAAAAGTGATGGTAAAGACTTATAAAGACTTATAACAGATTTCTATTTTGAATACATGCTGTTCTTTTTAACTTTTTATTCATCAAAGATTCCTGAAAGTGTCAAAGGTTCCAAAAAATATTAAGCAGCACAATTGTTTCTAACAATAATAATAAATATTAGAATGATTTCTGAAGGATCATGTGACACTGAAGACAATGGGTGATGAAAATTCTTTATATTATATTCTTTATAATTATATTTTAAAGTATATTAAAAAAATTATTATTTTAAATTGTAATAATATTTCACAATATTAGTTTTTTTTTTTTGATCAAATAAATGCAGCCGTGATGAGCATAAGAAACTTCTTTAAAAACATTTAAAAATCTTTTTGATCCCAAACATTTGAACATCTGTATATAGATGATAATTATTTCATTGCTATAACTATATAACTACACATAACTTTTTAATACTAATATTATGTTTTATAATATACTGTATATATTGTAATATATCTATAGTAATAATACTAATATACATTATTTAATAATACTTATATAATAAAATATTTAAAATACATTTAAATATAAAGTGCATTATATTATAAAATTATTATTTTATTATATCAATTTTAACTGAACAAAATTGAGGTTTTGATATCAGAAATCTCGCCACAGAAAAAAAATGCATGTCATGTGACTTAATCAAAGCACATCATTGGCTAAACTAAGGTCTTCTCTTTCCAACAAAAAAAACGAGAATGTTCTCTTAAAGAGACAATGGCAAGGAAATTAACACAAAGAGTATGTTGCCATATGGCTACACCATGCGGTAGAGGGTTAATGGTAATTATCCACGACCTGTAGTTGTAAAAGTGCTGTGCAGCTCTCACTACATGCTAATGATGGCAGTATTGTTCCTCATCCAGAGAGAACCACAGTGAGATTGAGCGTCGCCGGCGTAATAAGATGACCCTGTACATCACAGAGCTGTCGGACATGGTGCCCACCTGCAGTGCGCTAGCCAGGAAACCAGACAAGCTCACCATCCTGCGCATGGCCGTCTCACACATGAAGTCCATGAGGGGAACGGGGAACACGTCAACTGACGGCGCTTACAAACCCTCCTTCCTGACTGAACAGGTGAGAAATCACTCGCCTGAAACACTCCGTATATATGCACTCAGCAAAGGACATTAAAATGGCCTTAAAATCATACATTGCCATTTATTCACCCTATAAAGTCTACTGTATCATACTTGATATGCAATTTTCTGATGCCTCTAGTCTAAATGATCAAAACGCACAATCTGTTCCATGCCTTTCTGTCGTCTGACTGATACTTTATTCTCTTTGAGTGAGTGTTTTAGTATAATTGTAAAAATGTCCACTTTCAGCTCGTGTTTAGTGTGTTCTTGCTGTGAAATCTTTACCGATCTTTATAACGTGAACACAAGAATAACTTTTATATTGTTAGTAATATTTCAAGACTGAAGCGATTTAGGTTATTATCATGTTAAAATGTGAGTATCAAATATGATCATCAGGCTTTTGAGGATCTTTTATTTGTTCATCTCTCAATCATCACTGCATTGCATAACACATTTTGAAACTACAGAGCTTTGATCATAAAACCAAGCATTTAAATATCAAGACTTATTTTGGGAGGCATAGAGTGACTGATATTTATATGCATACTTTTTGGCCATATAAATATTAACATCTACACAAAATGCATATTTTTGCTCCGTTTAGAATAAAATTGAATAGTTTTTTTGTTCATATTTGAGTATGAGCTCCATATTCTCACTATATCATACAACCCCAATTCAAGAGATCAAAATCAAAATTCGTTTCATATTTACAAAATACATTTACGTTGGTCAGTGAAAACTTTGGAAATATTTTCTTTGTACTTTTTGTCAATTCAATAAAAGTTAAAGGGGTCATATGATGTTGCTAAAAAGAACATTATTAACTTTACAGATCTTCTTTATGCACCAAGAGCTTGTAACACTCCAAAGAGAAAGGAAAAATTGAAATCGCATCATATGACCCCTTTAAAGAGAATGAGCAAAATGTCCCAACTTCTCTGGAATTGGGGTTGTACTATATGAGCTATAAAAGGCTGATGTTGCAAATATGATGCTCAAGAAAAAACACATATGTGACCCTGGAGCACAAAACCTAGTCTTAAGTCGCTGGGGTATTTTTCTAGCAATAGCCAAAAATACATTGTATGGGTCAAAATTATAGATTTTTCTTTTATGCCAAAAATCATTAGGATATTAAGTAAAGATCATGTTCCATGTAGATATTTTGTAAGTTTCCTACCATAAATCTATCAAAACTTAATTTTTGATTAGTAATATGCATTGCTAAGAACTTCATTTGGACAACTTTAAAGGCGATTTTCTCACTATTGAAATTTTTTTGCACCCTTAGATTTCAGATTCTCAAATAGTTGTATCTTGGCCAAATATTGTCCTATCCTAACAAACCATACATCAATGGAAAGCTTATCTATTCAGCTTTCAGATGATGTATACATCTCAATTTTAAAAAATTGACCCTTTTGACTGGTTTTGTGGTCCAGGGTCACATATGGAAACTCTTTGTTTTGGATTTTGACATAAACTGTTCTATGCAAACCAAATTAGGTTTTGTCAGACTTTTATTTTTATGTGTCAGGCTTTACGGGGTAAATATGCCGTATGTAACATACCTTAGTCAAATATTAAAAAATGTGTAACAAAATGCACAAAAAAAACAACAAAAAGTTGAGTAGGAAAATTCTGACTTTCTAAATATCACTTGAAAGTCCTTTAAACATCATTTGAAACCCTCCGTTTGCTGTCACAGGAACTGAAGCACTTGATTCTGGAGGCGGCTGATGGCTTCCTGTTCGTGGTGGCGGCTGAGACGGGTCGCGTTATCTACGTGTCCGATTCTGTCACTCCCGTTCTGAACCATCCGCAGTCCGAGTGGTTTGGCAGCACGCTCTTTGAGCAGGTCCATCCGGATGACGTGGACAAACTGAGGGAACAGCTGAGCACATCTGAGAACTCGATGACAGGTGAGAGTCTGACACTCATTACTGATGGATCACTGGGGAGCAGGGAATTATTGGGCTTCGGTGTCGTGGTGCAACATGTGCTTACCGCTGGACAATGGCATATGACGTATGTGTTTTTTCTTGAGCATCATATTTGCAACATCAGCCTTTTATAGCTCATATAGTACAACCCCAATTCCAGAGAAGTTGGGACATTTTGCTTATTCTCTTTAAAGGGGTCATATGATGCAATTTCAAATTTTCCTTTCTCTTTGGAGTGTTACAATACCATTCTAACGATGGCGCCGACGGTGATGGCTGCCTCCGTGGCGTGCTCCGCAGTTGTTTTTATGTTTTTGTTAGTTTGTCCTGTCTTTAGTTATATCCCTGCAATCAGTTTCACCAGAGACGAATTGCTGGACATTCGGCAGTACACACCACCCAATATTTCACCGGTTTTCGACTGTTCTGATGTTTTGCTGGACATTGTAGTCGGGGGAGCTGTGGCGCTGATCAAGCGCTTCAGGACACGCAGATGGGGGAAGTGAGCCGGCGCGCTCGTCAAGCTCAGACAGCGCGGATTCAGAACGCTGTTGCCGAGCATCCATCTGGCGAACCTCCGCTCTCTACCCAACAAAACAGACGAACTCCTTCTGCTCTCCCGGACAAATAAGGATTTTTCAAACTCTGCTGCTCTGTGTTTCACAGAAACCTGGCTGAAAGACGCCATTCCGGACA